CCCCTTCCCTCACTACCCCCCTCCGCCCCCCCTCCTCCCTCTCCGTGGTCCCCAGAACCCTCCCCGCCCCCGCCGCCCTCCCCACACACAGTGTTTCACACACCCACCGCACGCCGCGCCCGCACGCCCACCGCCCCGCCTAGTGTCTCTCCGTAGGACCGAGTGACTTCGCGAGAAGTCACTCTTCAAAGCGTTCACACGAGGCATCGCGACCGTTTCTTGCGCCGATCTTTGATCAAAATCAAGGCTAACCAGCCTAGAGATGACCCCTAGACACTCACCTTCCTTGCCGACAGCCCACGCTGCGTCCGTCTCTGAAGCACCTCAAGTACGCCGGTTGAGACGCGCCCGAAACGGGGTGACTTCTAAAAGTCACTCCGCATGTGGGCCGCCCTCGCGGTCGTCTGACGCGCCCTCCGGCCGCCGCACACTCGCCACTCACCCCCTCTCACCTCTAGATGATGCGGCGGCGCGCACGGGGCACCGCGGCGGCCGGCGCCGCCGCTGCCGGCACAGGCGCAGGCTCAGGTCGCCGGTACGGCGATGGACGATCGCCGCGTCGCGGCGGGGGGCGCTGCTGTGCCCGATGCGACGGCTCCTCTTCGAGCAGGTGCTTGGCAAAGCCGGTGAGGGTCGCCAGCTTTTGTCCCGACCGGGCTGAAGATCGCGTAGCCAACCTGGCTCGGGTCCGGGAAGCACTGTGTGCAGTGGTAGGACCGCATGTACCCGCACTGATGCTTCTTGCTTGAGCACGAGCACAATAAACACGAGCACAGACGCCGTGTCGCCTAGGGCTGTCCGCCTCAAACGTCGCACGGCGCCTCGAATTCGCGCAGACCAATGTAGTCGATGCCGGAGCGTGCGCATTGGTATTCAGAGTCTGAGGTAGGCGGCGTCGCGCAGTAAGCGCAGTAATGCATTCGATTTGGATACCGGCGCTTGCGTGGGAGCGCAGACAGCGTCGGCCGCGGTGTGCCAGCGAATGTGGTGGTCCTCTTGTCCACTGCGTCCGAGCCGAACCAGCTGTCCACACGAGAAGCGGCGGCGCTGGGAGAGCCACGACGAGGTCGACCGCCTCGACCAGTCAGCCTCCGGCACAGCATTGGGTGCCTGCATGTCGCCGGGATTGCGTCGCTTGTGTCATCGCGTAGCGGTGCGGAGGCAGCGCCGTATATCGCCTCTTGCCCGCGGGGACGAGCGCTCCAGCGGAGGGCCGGAATATGTGCGCGCGGGGGCGAGTGACTTCGAGAAGTCACTAAGTGACTTCTAGATATCCCTTAGGTATTTCCTTGGGGTATTTCCTTTGGTATAATCCTCTGGGGTATATTCCTCTGGGGATTTCTTTATGTATATGGGGAATTCACTTTGGTATATTCCTGTTGGGTATTCCTCTTTGTATATTCCTCTGTGGTATATTCCTCTTTGGTATATTGCAAACAAAACAAATCTCTCTCTCTCTCTCTCTTTGGTATATTTCTCTCGGGAATTCACATCGGTGTATTCCTCTTTGGTATAATCCACTTTGGTATATTCCTGTTGGGTATTTCTCTTTGTATATTCCTCTTGGGTATATTCCTCTGATTCACGTCGGTATATTCCTCTCGGGTATAGTCCTCTGGGAATTCAGAAAGAAAGAAAGAAAACGGACAACCCAAGGGAGGGATGGGAGGACGGCACGCCGCCACACACAGGGATTTTAAGGAGAGGGGTGAGGTGCACTAGCCGTCGCCCACCCTTGGGCGTCCGCCTCTTCCTATCTCTCTTCGCAGTCTCTCTCCGATTCTCGCTGCGACCTTCGTGCCACCTCGCGGTCGCTTCGGTACATTCCTGTTGGGTATATTTCTCTGAAGTTCCCCCCTTGAGGGGTCGCCGGAGGCGACATCTCGGCATAGCGTGCCGGGGAACGCTCCCGATCCCAAAACGGGATGCACTGCTCGTGAAGCAGAGGATGCCGTTCGAGCCGCTTCGAGGGCCCGCCGGTGCGTGCCGTACCGCCAGCGGCGCGCGTGGCGGCGGACCAGCCTTGTGGGGAATCAGCCTCTCCGAGTGCAAGGCGCTCTGTGAGGCTAGCGGAGCGTGTGTGGCAGCGCAGCACGCATCCACACCAAAAAAGCGAGGCAGGGTGGACATGGCATGCGAGCTGATTTTGGCGCCTGCACGCGTCTCTCACACCCTGCCGCTCGCTAACACCGTGTGCTTGCTCAAGCGGGCCGAGCCGTCGCCACCAGCTTTGTCGCAACAGCGTGCCGACTCGCCGCCGCCGCCGCCGCCGCCGCCGCCGCCGCCGCCGCCGCCGCCGCCTCCGCCGCTGCCGCTGCCGCCTCCGCCGCCTCCGCCTCCGCCGCCGCCACCAACTTTGCCGCCATCGCCGCACCCTCCGCCTCCGCCACCACCGTCGCCACCGTCGCCGCCGTCACCACCGCCACCCGCGCAGCCGCCCTCCACGCCGCCGCCAGCCCCACCGCCGCCGCTGCCGCCGCCCTCTCCGCTGCCAGCAACGCCGCCCTCCATCCCGCCCTCCACCCCGCCCTCCACACAGCCCTTTGCGCCGCCCTCCATACCACCCTCCATGCCGCCTTCCACGCCACCAGCGCCGCCGCCTCCCACGCCGCCGCCTCCGGCACCGCCGCCGCCGCCGCCCTCTCCGCCGCCGCCGCCCTCTCGGCCGCCGCCGCCGCCGCGCCCGCCCACTCCGCCTCCTCGCCCTCCGAGTCCGCCTCCCAGCCCTCCACTGCCAGTGGGCGCCACCGCCATCGCCTTTACCGCCACCCGCGCAGCCGCCGCTGCCCTCTCCGTGGGACGGTTCCATCTCGGGCGCCTACTGCTTCCTTCTCAACTGCCGACCCTGTCCACTTCCGTTCCATCTTGACTCCTTCCCCCTTCGAGTCTTGCCTCTCACGACCTAAAATTTCCATTGAATATAGCATTCCCCTTGACAAAGGCTGCTACTGTTCCCCCCCTACCTCTTCATAGGTATGAATTCACGCTTACATCCCCTCTTAATAGACTTTATTAAACGTCCTT